AAATTAACTTACAATTTTTTTTAGAAGTTTTCATGCATTGATAAAATTTTGATGTGTAAACTTGTTCAATTGGAGCTAGTAGGATGTTAACATTGTCAATTATTTGGAAAATGATCCTACCGTTTTAGAGTCCATGTGTAATTGTATTTATGATCAACAACTTTGTAGTTAGGCCGCGCATGTCTGATGTAAGAACAATTTTGTCTGATAAAAAAATAATAGTATAATATTTGTAAAGTAATGTACAATTGTACCATTATAAAAAAAAATATAAAAAATATTAATATCATAATGGCCTAAATCATTCCAATAATTCAAAAGCATAATTGAAATATTAAGTTTTGTTTTAAATAATCAGAAGAATATTAATTAAACAAATAAAAAAACTTAACATTATTTTTTTTAAATAAAAAATTCAAGAAAATCAAATGATTTTAAAGTAGTTCCTGATTTATAATCTTTGATGCTCAACTTTGAATGCTATGTATTTAGTGGATCTAATTATTTGACCAAAATTTATGTTAAATTTTATATTATATAGATATTTTTAATACATTTTAATATATTCATAATATATGTTTAACAATTATGCCAACTATACTTGGGATGAGGTTCGAACCTAAGACCTTATATAAATTAAGAGTATGTTAAGAATAATAAATAGTTAACGGAATATTCCGTTACTAAAGTTTAAACTAATGGAATTTAGGATTATTTAAGGGAAGAAAATAATATAATAGAAGGTAAATAAGGGAATCATTAAAAGATACTAAAATCAAAATAATATGAACAATTCATTTTAAGAAACAATTAGTACTGACATTTTTTTTGTTCCAGTTAAGGGCCTAACATTATTCGCTCTTATTAAATTTGTAGAAAAAGTGCTAATATTAGTTTCAAATTGAACTTATTATTGCAATTTTCTACTTGATATGAAATAGGTTGGTCTAAGCATCTTTAAAGAAAGAAGGAGATACAATTGACCAAAAAGACTGCTAGCTTAGAATTCATGTATTTTTTTTGTTAAGTAATTATTATCCTTGTTTCATTTTACCTATGACATTTATTATTGATTAGTCAAATAAATTATATAAATTTTATGTATTAATACTCAACTTTAACAAATTTTTAAAATGACAAGTAAAATAAGACTTTTGCTTAATATATGTTTAACATTTTATTTCACAATAAGAAAAAAAAAAAAGAAGGAACTTTCATTTTATGGGCAAAATAAAATTTATTAAATATGGGGTTTACTTGCAAATTTTGAAAATTGTTCAGTAGCGGAATTCCTAAAGTGCCCTTATTCAACACACTTTCCTGGGCCGACACAGCATATTCCACAAACATTTTTCCGGTACCCATAAAAAGAACTGTTCACACGGGTAGTATATATTTATCACATTCGTATCCGATTTTGACCTCTCGATCGAAACCCTAAACCCCACTCCTGCAAGTGAAGTGGCCTACGGCGGTTTCTCAGAACAAGTAAGTCGCTAAGATAATCTCTATGAATTTCATCCGATCTGAGATTGTATTTCTCGGTTCTTAGTGTATTTGGATGCATGCGTTGGTGGAGTGTTTGGGCGACGTTAAGGGGATTTTGGTTTTTTGATTTTGATTTTTCAGGTAGCTGTGGTGGGAAAATTGTGTTGGAAGTTTCTAATCTGAAGCCATGGCTCTGGTGAGTTTTCTTAGGGATCTTGCTTTGTAATGGATTCTTAATTTTGAGCTGTAGATCTGGATATTAATTGTGTATTATCATTTTGATTGCTTAAAGTTCAGTTTTTTAGCTGATTTTGTCGTTTGGTTAGAGGGTAAGATGCTGAATTTTGCATGTTTATAGCTTATGGTTTCGCCTTTGTATTTCTTATTGTTCCTCACATTCATGTACGTCACAAATTTGTGTTTCTGGGTGTGAAAAGAATGCTGCTTTTTATGGTTCTCTTAATTGTTTTTGTGAGTCTTGTGCTCTATATTTTTGGTCTAAATTTGTAATGCCTTTTCCTTCAAATGTCTTAGTTTTATGACTTTTATCTTGGCTAAGAACAATTCTTCAAAATTAGCATGTTTGGGATTCACATGCTTGTTAAATACTCGAAGATGGTCTGTTGTGGATATTATAAACATGCTAAAAGGCATCTGTTTTTGTGAATGGCGGGGTCGACGAGGAAGGCCAAAGAAAAGCATACATTTAATTTAATCTGTAAATCTAAAAGTTATGATTTTTATTAATTTCCTTCCCTTGATAGGTTTATTAAGTCTACTTTTTTATTTTTTTTTATTGATTGATTTTGGTTGAACCTGGAATTGGGTCCATTGCTGCCTAAATAACAGGTTTTGGACTTACCAACTTAATAAGTTTATACAGTTTGTAAATAACCTGGATCTATTTTTTAGAAAAATAGATCAGTGATTGCATTTGCACATTTGTCAATGTGCTACAGTGGTCTGGTGTATATTGCTCCCTATTTTTACACTTTTGACTAAAGTAACACAGGGCTAAAGTATGTTTTCAGATTTATGTGCTATAACAAGTCTTCTTGATTCTGCATTTCTAGGTTCTGCATTCTCCCAATGAAAACAAAAACGCATTCAAGGCACTCATTGTTGCGGAATACTGTGGTGTGAAAGTTGAGCTTACGAAGAACTTTCAGATGGGTGTGTCAAACAAGACTCCCGAGTTTCTTAAGATGAACCCAATTGGAAAGGTATTGCATCAGTTCACTAGGATATACGGAGTATCAGTTTTTAATTTTTTCCCCCCTGCAATTTGTTTAATGTCTGCCAATTTTTTTCCTGTTGTAGGTTCCTGTGCTTGAAACACCCGATGGTCCTATATTTGAGAGCAATGCCATTGCACGCTATGGTGAGAGTCGTGTTATTTTTGTTTGATATACTGAATTTGAAATAGAGTTCTATTCTGACCTTTACTTTTCCTAATCCTGTAGTTGCTAAGGTGAAGCCTGACAATCCACTTTTTGGCTCTTCATTAATTGAATATGTAAGTCTTATTATTTAAATTTTGACACGGTTATAATTCACTCGTTGAAATATGTTTTTTCTTAACTCCTCTTTTTTATAATATCCTCGGGCAGGGCCACATTGAACAATGGACTGACTTTGCTGCTACAGAGATTGATGCTAATACCGCAAAATGGTTGTACCCACGCCTTGGATTTGTGATATATTTGCCTCCGGTATGTGAGACTGCCTCTATTCATACCTTATGCACTTAGCATTGTTGAACCTGTCTTGTATTAATAATTTAATATCAAGAATCAATAATGGTTTCATGGTTTTTGTTTTTTTTTGTTGTCAAAAAAGGCTGAGGAAGCTGCAATTGCTTCGCTGAAGAGATCGCTTACTGCTTTGAACACCCATCTTGCCTCTAACACTTACTTGGTTGGGCATTCTGTCACACTAGCCGACATTGTTATGATCTGCAACTTGAGCATTGGATTTAAGTGGATCATGACTAAGAGCTTCACCAAGGAATTCCCACATGTTGAGAGATATTTCTGGACATTGGTTAATCAGCCGAAATTTGCCAAGATATTGGGTGAGGTTAAACAAGCAGAATCAGTTCCACCTGTCGCATCCAAGAAGCCTGCACAACCAAAAGAATCTGCTAAACCGAAAAAGGAAGAGCCAAAGAAAGAGGCTAAGAAAGAAGCTAAGAAAGAAGATCCAAAGCCTAAGGATGATGCAGATGAAGAAGAAGCGCCCAAGCCAAAGCCAAAAAATCCTCTTGATCTCTTGCCCCCAAGCAAGATGATTCTTGATGAGTGGAAGAGGCTATACTCCAACACCAAGACCAACTTTCGTGAGGTTGCCATTAAAGGTATATTTTCCTTTCTATATGCTTTTGTCAAATATTATGTCGTTTTTGGTGTCATGAAGCTTACCACCGTTTTTTTTTCTTTCCCCCCATTGTTTTTCAGGTTTTTGGGATATGTATGATCCAGAGGGATACTCTCTTTGGTTCTGTGATTACAAGTACAATGATGAAAACACTGTTTCCTTTGTAACGATGAACAAGGTGGGCGGTTTTCTGCAGAGGATGGATCTGGCACGCAAGTATGCGTTTGGCAAGATGTTGGTGATTGGCTCAGAGCCCCCGTTCAAGGTGAAGGGGTTGTGGCTTTTCCGCGGGAAAGAAATTCCCAAGTTTGTTTTGGATGAATGTTATGACATGGAGCTGTACGAGTGGAAGCAAGTAGACATCAACGATCCAGCTCAGAAGGAGCGGGTCAGCCAGATGATTGAGGATGCCGAGCCTTTTGAAGGTGAGGCTCTTCTAGATGCAAAGTGTTTCAAGTAAGCACATTGCCACATCGTATCATTCCCATAACTCGAGTTTCGAGTTTGTAGCTTACACACTGCAAATTTTGAATTTCCTCTGTTATGAACTATCCTTTTTCTTTACTGAGAGTATTTGTAGCGGTTTTGAATTTTGACCTTTGTTTTTGGCAAGAATGTTATTTATTATCAATTGGATGGATGCTTGTTATCTTGCTAGCTAGAATGAAGTTTTGCATTTCTTTTGTCACCTTGAGAACTGTCTATTATTCTTATTGGTTTGGTTTGAGTCAGTTAGCTATGGAAAACTTAGACTAATTTATTTTCTTGTAGTCTTTAACTTAGACTAATTTATTTTCTTGTAGTCTTTGGGCAGTTGAATGATTTGATTATACGCTGTTTAGTTTTGATTTGTTTTTCTTTTGTTGTAAATTAAAGAACTCTACAAGATTTTGAAAACATTTTTATGCCAAATTCATTTCAAGTTTTATCTTTGCAATCAGATATAATTTTGAAACAATGATTTAAGATAAGAACGTTCACAGTGAACATTGTGGCAATGGAACATATTTATAACATTAAAAGAAAATGTTACAATATGATCAATACAACTACATATAGTCCCATTCTAATTAGGAACATGCAACTATAAGACAACAAGAGACTATAAAGATAAATATACCAAATAAAAGGACAAAGGTCTGTCTTGTAGAGTTCTTTGATTTACTGGAAAACCTGCTGACACTACTTGAACGTGGGTGAAACCCAGGTAAACCAGTCTAAGTTGTCTATAGCTGAATAGACTTAAGCAGTATTTTCAAGAAATGGATAGTCATTATAGCCAATAATAGGGTCTGAGGTATAAAAAGTGTTTCTGTCATACTTGTTGAGAGGGGCATTGAGCTCGAATCGCTTTGGTAAATCGGGATTGGCCAAGAATAGGCGGCCATAGACTACGAGATCACCTCGGTTTTCGGCCACCGCCTTGATCCCGTCTTCCCTGTCATAACCACCAGCAACCAAGAAAGTGCCCTTGAATGCCCTCCTCATTGGCAAAAGACTGTCAAGGCCGCAGTCACTCTTCTCCCCAACTGTTTTCATTCTTGGCTCAACCATATGGCAGTACAGAATGCCATACTTGTTCAAGGATTCAGCCATGAAAACCCCCAAACCATTTGGATTTGAGTCTCCACATTCCATATAGTTAGCAAAGGGAGAAAGCCTTATCCCCACCCTCTCACCTCCAATCTCATCTGCAACACCTTCAACCACTTCCAAAGCAAATCTGCACCGGTTTCGCAGACACCCTCCATATTCGTCTGTTCGATCATTCACTCCATCTTTCAAGAACTGTTCTATTAGATAGCCATGAGCCCCATGGATCTCCACTCCATCAAAACCTATACAATGAACAAACCATATGGTTATCATATCAGACAGGTAAAATTGTAGAGTTTTCCCATCAAAACTTACCAGCTTGGATTGCATTTCTTGCAGCAAGCCTGAAATCATTGATGACTTGAGGGATTTCATCTGCCCTTAGCCGTCGTGGAGGAGTAAACTGTGCTTGATTTTGGGGAGTTAGTGGCTTATCAGTGCTGGAGATGGGTGCTTGTCCATTGGGCTGAAAATCTGCAGAAAACTGATAGTCAGCTGAACAAGCTCTGATATCATGTTATAAGCCAAATCACATTAAAAAAAAAAAGAAAAAATTGAATCCAATTAACTGGCCAGTCTAAGGCATGACCTTATAAACCCATATTTTTCAATGTGGACTCTTAACAACAGACAACAAAATGCCATGTAGCCAACAAGATTACCTGTATTTGAGACTCTGCCAACATGCCCAATCTGGCAGAAAAAGATGCCACCTTTAGCATGCACTGCATCTACAATGGGTTTCCAGGCTTCAACCTGCTGCTTTGTCCATATACCAGGTGTATCTGGGTATCTGCAACTCAAGGTTAAAGAAGAAAGGTATGAATTTAATAGTAGAAAAACTAAAACTTGCTTAATTAATTAAAGTGAAACAATTAGGTAAAATTACCCTAGGCCAGTGTCAGAAATTGCTGTGGCTTCTGCTATTAGAAGACCTCCTTTGGTGGTTCTCTGAGAGTAATGCAAAATAGCATGAGGCTGAGGAATGGTGTTGTAAGATCTCTGCCTTGTCAAGGGTGCCAACACAATTCTGTATCAAACATTAACATCAGAAAATGGGTTAGATTATATTTGTCCCTTAATAGTAAAGGCCTAAAGGGATTATAAATCATTATTCTTGCCAACACCGTTTTGATTTATCAGGTGGTATAGTTTTTTTTTTTTTTTTTTTTAAGCGTGATTTACTTCTTTTGTGTAGTTTGCAGGATTTACACCATACTCACCCTCGAACAGTAATTACGAAAAAAATGAGGTGGTTGATTCAAAAAGGTAGATATGATTACGGGTCAAACTCAACTCATGACCCTAATCGATAAAGGATCATACGGAGGTAAACTAGTCTACGTTATCCATAGACCATAGTTGACTTGCTTAAAATAAAAATTATTAATAATTAGCCAACTATCCAACCAATTTGACTTGGATTTCCCCCAACCCGTTCAGCTTTTAGTAACTAGTTTTGTAGCCCCTCTAGTTTGATTAAGAGAGAGAGAAAGAGTTGTTTACCTGTGAGATAAGTGAAAATTTCCCATTTTATAGGGTGTGAGCAGAGGAGTTTCCTGTCCTTGGGTGACACTGTTTGCCATTTTTTAAAGGTTTCTTTTGCTTATAAACGTATGGTTTCTTTGGATATAAATGGGTTTACTTCATGGAATATGGCATTTCCTACTCGTATTTATAGAAGGTGATGATGAAATGGGGAGAGAGAGAGAGAGAGATGTAAGCGAATTGCCATTTTTCTACTCCTTGAGATCTTCATTTGACCATTCATTAATTTTTGTTTTTCCCTATTATGAAAAGAGTAATACTATATTCCATTTCTAACTTTTACTTTCTAATTTTATATTTTTACGTGATAATATTTGACTTTAAAAAATGAAGTTAGAAAAATTATTCCCACGTTTGGTGTAATCTTTGAGGTCGGAAAGTTTGAAATAATTGGGAATTAAATTTCATGATATCAAACAAAATAAATCCCACTTATGGGAGTAAGATTCATTCTTTAAGGTGACTGAGAATCTACCAAATTTATTCAATTACATATTTATCTTTTTTAATACACTTATAAATATAGAAAATTTGTTTCTCTCACCATTACTCATTTATATTCGTGTACTGTATATATATAAAAGCAAACTCTTTTTTGTTGCTCCCCAATGACGCAGCACGAGAAATGTATGTCAAGACAATTCTTTATAGTTGAGCCTACATGATATTATTATTTTTTAACTTGATTTTAATTTTTGGGCACTTAATTAATTTGATAATTTGGTATTTTCAACATACATATTGTTTTGTATTATGAATATTCTTGTTGCATACTGAACTTTTTTAGCATATGATTTATTAATTTATAAGCAATTTATTAAACTCTCAATTAATTGTTATATTTCCAGGACAACACCAAACATGTTAATTAATTTTTTCAATTATTTCCATCAAATATATTCATCGAAAATATTTTTCCTAGAATTTAATTGAGGAAAAGTACTAAACGCCCTCTAAATGTAGTATGGAGTACATTTTTTTCCTCAAAATATCACATTTTTCCTAATAAGTATTAAACTTTCCCGTATAAATAATAATCAATTTATCTATGACTAATATTACAATTTTTTCGATGAGTAGTATGTTTTCTCTCAAAAGTAATAATCAATTAATTTATCTCTAATTAGTATTACATTTTCTTCAAAAGTAACTTTTTAACCCCTAAATATTATATTTTTTTTAAAAAATATTACATTTTAAATCAAAATTATCCGTAAAACGAGTCAGGTTTAGATAGAAATACAATACATTTTTTTTTATTTAAAATGTAATACTTTTAAAACAAAATATAAGATGGATATTTATTGTAGGTGTGATCATTTAGAAATTCCGATTAATAAAAAATAATAAGAATAATGAGATATGGAAAGCAATGAAAGAGATATGGAAGTCAATATTTGGCTATAGTCAGCTGAGGTTAGTGTTCTGGAATTATTCAAATCAATGATAGATTCATAGTCCAAGCAGCCAACATCATTCATACTAACATTCTAGAGTTTTCAATTTTGAGTATCTCTAATGAGAATTTTAGTATAAGATTTGAAAATTTGAAACTTGACAATGCAAAGACTTAACTAATAAGATTATATTTATTCTTGGAGTATCTTATTAGTTTCAAATGTGACTATATGTTGAAAAAGAAAGAAAGAAACAAAATATATTAAATAAATATATGTCACGTTACACTAATAAATTTTGTAAAAAGTAAGGCTCTGATCTCAAAATTGTTGAAATGTTTGACTTTTGAATATTATAGAAAACAACCATATGAGCAACATCAACCGAGTTGGTTACACAATTAGCTTGTTCTTTTTCAGTCTTAGCCAGTTAATTATGAACAATTAAAGCTAAGTTAATTTAACTACTCATTTACCTTCTCCTAAAAAGTTGAATGCCCGTTTTGGGCATAATTCAAACACTATCACCACCAAGATTCAAACCTTGGTCTCTTCTCCCAAATATTACCCACTAAACTATTGAGCTAAGTCTGTACGGGTACCTAATCATTTACCTATTTGAATTATAATACGAGTTTCACCCTAAGCTCAATTTTTAAGGTAACCACGCGGACAAATTGCACCATTAATAAGCTAACAAATAGCACCAACCAACCAAAACTCCTAAAGTCGAAAATGAAGGTTATTTGTACGTGGACAGGAAACCAGACAAGATACATTGTACATCCCAATCATGCCTGTCATTATCATTTTTTTTTTTCTTCAAAATTTACTATACAAGTAAATGTAATTAGGCCACTGAACTCAAAAAGAATACAATTGGACCACTGAACAACGCAAAATATTGCAATTCAACCAAAAATGACTTGTTTACTTGTTAACTTGCTGATGTGGAGGTTATCATTTAAAATAATATTTTTTTATTTTATTATAATAATTTAAAATAAAAAAATTAAAAAAAAAAAAAAAAAGGTTTGCCGCCGGAGACGAAGAACCAATCTTCGTCTCCGGCAGCCTGGTCTTCGTCTCCGACCGGGGATGAAGAGCTCTTCGTCCCTGGCCGGAGCTTCGTCTCCATGCCGGAGACGAACCTCTTCGTCTCCGGCCAGGGGCGAAGAGCTCTTCGTCCCCGGTCGGAGACGAAGAAGGTTCTTCGTCTCCAGGCTGCCGGAGACGAAGACTGGTTCTTCGTCTCCGGCAGCGTTTTTTTTTTTTTTTTTTTTTTTTTTAGATTTGTTATTTTAAATTATTAAAATAAAATTAAAAAGTATTATTTTAATATTGTAACCTCCTCGTCAAGTAAACAAGTCATTTTTGGCTTAATTGCAACATTTTGTGTTGTTCAGGAGTTCAATTGCACTTTTTTTGAGTTCAATGGCATGATTGCATTTTTGTGTGTAGTTCGATGGCCTATTTGATCCTTATTCCTTTAAAATTTAAGAGATAATTAGTTCAGTAGCACACAGCCACACACAAGAAATTGTTATGGGATAAATGGTGGAATGATGATATCATGGATAACTTTATTTGTAGGAAAATGGCAATTAGCTTTCATCTCACTTCCCTTTCACCGCCTTCTATGAATACGAGAAGGAAATGCATCCAGGAAGTAAAACCACCACTTAGCTTCGGCAGAATTGTAGAAATCAGAAAAATTTGTAGAGCAAAAGTAACCTCAGAAATGGCGAACAATGTCGGCGATGTACAGGAAGAGAAGCAGCAGGAAATTCCTCTGCTCACACCCTATAAAATGGGAAACTTTCACTTATCTCACAGGTGAACAATTCTTTCAATCCCTTGTTCTTGCGAGTATTTAATTTTCTGATTTATACACTACTTGTTTCCCAATTTTGGATTGGGGGGATAGATTCATGCTTGAGATGTGTAAAAAAGTTTTGGTGAAGTTAAAAGCATTCTTGAAATAATTGAGTAGTGTAAATTCGAGATTCATCCTAGTATGATGGACTAAAACTTAGTTGCAGAAATTTGATATGTTGAGCATATAACCATTAATGTGCAATCCAACTATAAGCTTTTAGTTGAGATGGAGCACATGTTTCAATTTGGTATCAGAGCCAAACCAAAGGTCATGGATTCGAATCTCTACGGTCCACGTGAGCACATGCTTCAATTTGATAGCCACTATATGAGAGTGTTGTGTGGGTAATCCCTGCCCGCCTTGAGACCCTAGCCGACAGCCCGACCAACTTGGCTAGGGTGCTGCAATTCTAAAGTTTTTGGATATCATGGACTAGAGTTTCAAAAGAATTCTGTCATATTGATCCTCTGACTCGCTAATCAGTTATTGTCAATCTCTGCTACATGTATAGATACACTTTACCATTGTGTTTTCTGTGTCAAGGAATGCAATGGAAGCTTGAATGTTACTTGATTTGCAATACCTGTGGTATTGTGAACAAAACTTTCCCTTCCCATTTATTATGTAGTAATGGTGCAAGTCTGGCTCAAGTATAAATCAGAACTGGAAAATTAATTGGCAGAAGACTAATTGCATTTGCTGAAAAAATTTACCCTTCAGATAGGCAGTGCCTGCTAGATCTTAAGTTTCTTGTTCTTTTCAAGAGGATTCATAGCACTACAGTAGTACAGTCTTCAATTTGTTGACCCGGTGTGATAATTTGATTGCATTAATACCGAGACACTGCATATCGATCATAAAAGTATCCTTAGCATATTGAACTTCCCATATGCTCATATATTGAATTTGAGTTTTCCGTCTGTTCATTTATTGAGAAAATGGCCAATAATGTCGCAGATGACTATATTGTTTTATGGCTATGAATTTAGTTTTCCCCGTGGTTTATAATCCCCTTACTTTTTAGGGACAAATCTAAGTTATCTAACCCATTTTTTTGTGTCAATGTTTCATTTAGAATTGTTTTGGCACCCCTGACAAGGCAGAGATCTTATGGCAACGTTCCTCAGCCTCATGCTATTTTGTATTACTCTCAGAGAACCACGAAAGGGGGTCTTCTAATAGCAGAAGCCACGGTAGTTTCTGAAACTGCCCAAGGGTAATTTTAGTTTTTGTACCATTCATAAGACCCTCCAAATCCTTCTTCAAAAGTGTTCCTGCGTACTTATTACTTTTAATATTTATTTAACGTTGAGTTGCAGATATTCCGATACACCTGGTATATGGACAAAGGAGCAGGTCGAAGCCTGGAAACCCATTGTAGATGCAGTGCACGCTAAAGGCGGTATCTTTTTTTGCCAGCTTTGGCATGCCGGCCGAGTTTCAAATAAAGGTAATCTTCACTACCTGGTGTTTTGTTGGCTGTAAACTAAACATAAGTGGAGATTGTATGAGCCGAGTATGTCACACAAAGTTTTTTTGAGTGACAAGGGAAACCTGTAGCCACTACCCGAGGGTGTGCACGGGGTAATCCCGCCTTGTGGCCCTAGCCGGCAAAGGACCACAAGGAGGTAAACCAGCCTAGGTTGGTCATGGCTGACCGACTCAAACCAAAAAGGCCAATAGGCTGCTCTCGCTGGGAGTCAACTTATAACCTTGTGGTTACCAAGTAAACACTCACGCAAAGTTTTATACCATAGAAAACTGCATAAGATGGATTTTGTTATTTATGTGAGCACAGACGACTTGCTTCTGTATCCTATCTGTTTCATTCCATTAAACCAAATAGTTTTCTGCAGGTTTTCAGCCCAATGGACAAACACCTATCTCCAGCACAGACAAGCCATTGACTCCCCAAGTTCAAGCCAACGGCATTGATGTAGCAGAGTTCACTCCTCCACGACGGTTAAGGACAGATGAAATCCCTCAAATCATCAATGATTTCAGACTTGCTGCAAGAAACGCTATCGAAGCTGGTAAATTTTTTCGGGAAAAATCTACAATTTTACTGCAGATATGCTTAAATTAATATTTGTTGAATTGAAATTTTGATGACATCACACAATGATTAAACTGAACCAGTGAGATATTGTTGCATGTAGGTATTTATGTTTGTTGTGTCTGAATATTGCCCACATTCAACGTCTACACTGAACTGTGTGATTGCATACTACCGGAAATGAAATTAACCATATGGTCTGTTGTTGTATAGGTTTCGATGGAGTGGAGATCCACGGGGCTCACGGGTATCTAATAGACCAGTTCTTGAAAGATGAAATCAATGACCGAACCGACCAATACGGGGGCTCTCTGGAGAACCGATGCAGATTTGCTTTGGAAATAGTCGATGCTATTGCGAACGAGATTGGAGCTGAGAGAGTAGGGATAAGGCTTTCTCCCTTTGCTAACTATATGGAATCTGGAGACTCAAATCCAAATGCTTTGGGACTTTACATGGCTGAAGCCTTGAACAAGTATGGCATTCTGTACTGCCATATGGTTGAGCCCAGAATGAAAACAGTTGGGGAGAAGAGTGAATGCCCAGACAGTCTTTTGCCAATGAGGAAGGCATTCAAGGGCACTTTCTTGGTTGCTGGTGGTTATGAGAGGGAAGACGGGATCAAGGCGGTGGCTGAAAACCGAGGTGATCTCGTCGTCTATGGCCGACTATTCTTGGCCAATCCCGATTTACCAAAGCGATTTGAGCTCAACGCCCCTCTCAACAAGTATAACAGAGACACATTCTATACCTCGGATCCTGTGGTTGGTTATACTGACTATCCATTTCTTGAAACCACTGCTTGATATGATTCTAGGTGAGCCTCATGTATCCCAAATGTTGGGCAAATTATGCCGTGGTTGCAAAAACGGCGTCGTTTTAATCAAAACGACGTGTCCGACTTTAAAAAAAAAAAATCAGTTTCGATTGCCATTAACGACGTTATGTTGTGCATAATTTGAACTATATATCCAGAATGAATGAACTATATATCCAGAATGAATAAATTATATATCCAGAATGAATGAATTATATATCCATAATAAATGAATTATATATCCAGAATGAATGAATGAACTATATAGTTCAAATTATGCACAACATAACATCGTTAACAGCAATCTAAACTGATTTTTTTTTTTTTTTTTAAAGTCAGACGTCAAAACGACGTCGTTTTTGCATGGTGCACACGGTTACACAGCATAACGCTCCCAAATGTTGTATATGATACTATTGAGCACCAGTGTTGCCGACATGCCCAACAATAATTGGTACCAATCGTTATACCCTGCACCACGGCGCGTGTAGCACTGTTCGCCGCGCGCCTCCCAAAATGACGTCGTTTTGGTAAGTTATGTAGGGAGTTGACGTGATTATGTGTATTTTGTTTATACAATTATGTGTATTTTGTTTATACAATTATGTGTATTTGTTTATACAATTATGTACATTTTTTATACAATCGTGTACATCTTTTTTTATACAATTATGTACATTTGAAACAGGAAATTTATGTGTATTATGTTAAGAGTTGATGTTTATTATGTTAAAAGTTTATGTATATTATGTATTATGTTAGATTATATGTATTATGTTTAACCATATCCTTATAACAATTAACATAGTAGTCATCTTGTAATGCCCATGCATATTACAAACATAGATTCTCCTAAACATATATATACCCGTATAGTTCGAAATATTTTGAATTTTGGAATATTTGTGGAATTGGATATGATCTTCTTAAGATGCTGATTTAATTTGGCTAAGGAGAAAATTTCAATTTTGGTCCATTGACTATTGGAGTTGTATTAATTGCAACACTTGACTTTCAAAAATGTTAATTGAGTACCTTGACTATGCAATTTCTTTCAATTTTGGTCACTCCGGTCAAATTACCGGTAAAATCTCACCGGAAAAATTTAATAAGTCAAATAAGGAGGGTATTTTAGTCATTTACTCGTCTTTTCTTTCTTCCCCGGTGAGTTTCTCCATTTCCGGCGAAATTTGATGAGTTTCCCGATTCTCTTAGGAGAATCAAAAGAATGTATCAAAAGAATATAATGTAGTTTCTGTCAGAAATAAATTTGATACTTCAAAGTTTTGGTTTACTTCAATTACTGTTCATCTCTGTTGAAATCCTTGAGATTATGAGGAATCAGAAGCCCACTTTTCTTTTGATTTTAGCATTTTCAAATCTAAATCTCTGTGCCTTGCCTCCCCAACTCCAAACTCCTTTTAACTCTCCAGGTTTCTAACAGTGAACCCGTGGTTTCAAATTCTACAAACAAGCGCAAACCCCTAAGCTGGCAAGAGCAAAGAAAGCTCAAACGGCAACAAAAGCAAGTTGAAGAGGATCAACAAACTCTGTCCAACTTAGAATCGGCTATTCCGCAATCAAACATTGGGTTCAAAATGTTGAAACAAATGGGTTACGTTCCTGGCTCAACGTTAGGCAAGGATGGCTCAGGCAGGGCTGAACCAGTGGCTCTGGAAATTCGAAGGGGCCGTGCTGGCCTTGGGAAGGAAGATTCAAGATTAGAGAAGGCAAGGAAAGAAAAAGAGACACTTGAAATCGAGAGAATAAAGGAAAAAGAACTTTACTCTGCCGACTCCCATCATCGAATTTCGCCGGAAATGGAGAAACTCGCAGGGGAAGAAAGAAAAGACGAGTAAATGACTAAAATACCCTGCTTATTTGACTTATTAAATTTTTCCGGTGAGATTTTACCGGTAATTTGGTCGGAGTGACCAAAATTGAAAGAAATTGCATAGTCAAGATACTCAATTAACATTTTTGAAAGTCAAGTGTTGCAATTAACACAACCCCAATAGTCAGTGGACCAAAATTGAAATTTTCTCTTTGGCTAAGTATTCTTGCACAAGTTGCATGCCATATTGTCATCCAATGTTTCACTTTATGATTGGTGCTTATGCTTTTGAGAGGTCATTTCTAATTCTATGCTTTTCATTCAACAGTACACCTTACCATTAGCCAACCAAATAATACAAATTTTTAAAAATTATTTAATATTATTGAGTTAAAAAATGAAGTGAGATCTTAATCCTGAATCTAATTCAGAACAATTTCGAAATTGAGATGATGAGATCTTAGCACTGGATCTGATTCAGAACAACATCGAAGTTGATGTGCACAGATTTATACTACAAAGTGCATAAGTTTAATACTACAAGTGCATAAGTTTATATTACTAATTTATAAACTTATGCACATGTAGTACAAAATTTATGCACTTATAATATAAAACATGTGCACATTATAGTATAAATCTGTATGCATGGGCCTATACTACAAAGATTGATAAATTTCTCGCTTTTTAGCAATCTAGACAACACAACTATGTATAATTGAAGTATGTGCTCCAGAATTGCACATTTATGTTGATATATAGTATATGACAAACCTAAGACTTTTGGCATGAATCTGATACCAAATTGAAGCATGTGCTCTCTCCCAACTAAAAGGATAAACTGATAATTGAATTGCACAGTTATGTTAATATATAGTATATGCAACAGATATATAATCCTTTCTTCGTAAGCAGGCACCTTTTCAAAAATTTTAGGGGTAATCAAGTAATTTATTTGTGGTGTGCATCATTCTGTTTTTGTAATCCGATCCAGTGATCATCTCCATCTTCCCTTCCTTGAGTTTATCTTCACCGATTCTTCTCTTTTTTAACATACGTATTGTTTTGTACTATGAGTATTCTTGTTGCATACTGATTTTTTTTTTTTTTTTTTTTTTTTGACATATGACTTATTAATTTATAAGTAATTTATTAAACTCTCAATTAATGGTTATGTTTCTAGGTAATTTAATGTTATGTTTCCACGGCAACACCAAACATGTTAATTAGTTTTTCAAGTTATTCTCATCAAACATATTCATTGGAAACATTTTTTTGAAAATTTAATTGATGGAAAAGTACCAAATACCCTCTAAATGTATTACGGAGGAGTACATTTTTCTTATAATATCACATTTTCCTAATAAGTATTATACTTTCTCGTATAAATAATAATCAATTTATCTATGACTAATATAATATTACAATTTTTTTTTCATAAGTAGTATGTTTTCTCTCGAAAGTAATAATCAATTAATTTATCTCTAATTAGTATTACACTTTTTTATAGAGTTAACACCTAATTATTATATTTTGTTTTAAAAGTATTACATTTTAAATCAAAAGTATCACATTTTCTCTCATAAATAATAATCAATTTATCTTTGATTAGTATTATATATATATACTCTCCCTCTTTTCCGTAAAACGAGCTAGGGGATATACTTTAGATATATATTATCTATAAACCTGGCTCGTTTTACGGAAAAGAGGGAGAGTATGTATGTATATATATATATATATATATATATATATATATATATATGATTTAATTAACTTGGGGTAGCTCGAATCGATAAACCTGATAAATAAGAAATGGATAAATGCGTAGGCAAAATAGGACAAATATGTATCATAAGGTCGTGGAGACCAAATATTGTATTAGATAATACTGGTAGAGCTATTACAAATTTACAAGGGTAGCGCAATGCCGAGTACAGTAGTCAATTAGGACAAAGTAAATAGAATATTGTAAGAGATGTGGCATGTCCTAATGGAGAAAACATAGGGTATTTATATAAAATAAACCCCCAATCGCCCTCCTAAATCAGGGGCTGGTTGCATCTTCCGCGCTGATCACGGCGGGCCGAGATCAGATCCGTGGGTCAGCCGTGCTGAGCTCAACTGCGACCGAACCCAAATAGCCGAGCTCAATAGGCCAAGAACGGAGCTCAACCCCAGGGTCCCAGATCCACTCCATGCTTCCTCACTCTGTCTCTTCGAGTCGATTTACTATGATCTTAATATATCCATCAATATATATAATGTTATCCAAAACCAATTATCAAGGAAAAAGGCATTTATTGCAGGTGTGATAATTTAGAAATTCAGATTAAAAAATAATAAGAATAATGAGATGTGGAAAGCAATGGATGAGATGGAAGTCAATACATTAGGCTACGGATACGTCATGGCTATAGTCAGCTGAGGTTATTTGGTCTTAGTTCCCAATAAAATTCAAATCAATGATAGATTCATAGTCCAATTCAAGCATGAAGCAGCCGACGTGGTATAACTCCACATCATTCATACTAACATTCTAGACTTTTCTATTTCGAGTATCTCTAACCAGAATTTTTAGTATAAAGTTCGAAAATTCGGAACTTGACAATATAAAGACTTTACTAATAAGATTACATTTATTCTTGCAGCACCTTATTAGTTTTGAATGTGACTATATGTTGCAAAAGAAAGAAAGAAACAAAATATATTAAATAAATATATGTCACGTTAAATTAATAAATTTTATAAAATATAGGGCTCTCAAAATTGTCGGGAGCTAATGTATCTTGAGAGAGAAAGTTACCTTATTGCGAGTAATTCAATCATAACATTGTTTGGCCGCCTTTGAATATTACAGAAAACAAACATATGAGAAACCTCAACCGAATTGGTCACACAGTTAGCTTGTTAAGCACAAAGTTTCGAGTTCGACTTCATGAGCAACCTATTGACCATTTCAGCTTGAGTCGATCAACTATGAATAACTAAAATTAAGCTGATTTATGTGATTATTTACCTATTAAGATCATAATACGAATTTCACTCTAAGCTCATTTTTAGGTAACCACGCAGGACAAATTGCACCATTAATAAACCTAGTTCCATTAAGAAGCTAACAAATAGCACCAACCAACCAAAACTCCTAAAGTCAAAAATTTGAATCATTATGCACGGAACAAA